TTAATTATATAATTATTAAGCTAAATTTTCTCGGATACAATCTCAACCCATTTTTGAATTTAAATTGATGGTTCTGGCCTGTTCCGATTTCGGTCCGGCTCGAGTCTTTGCTAATATGGGTCATTTGTTAGGAAAATCACTGGCAGATGACTAATATGAAAGATGAACTAGGAAAATCCAAACGGTGATTTTTTCCAGATCATGACCCATATCCGACTCGTAAGACCACACGTTATTATATATAACACTACCTAAAATGTTCAAATAATTTATATAAATATAAAAATTATTATTATTATTATTTTTTTAGAAGACTCAACCCGTTAAAACTATTTTATTTTTAAACTAACAACTTGTAATATTTGTTCTTTATTATACATGCTACAAACTCAAGTAACAATCAACGATTAATCAATGAATTTTTTTTCTTTTTTTTTATAACGATAACTAATCCTACACCACTGATTTTCACATCCAATTACGGTTTTAGCTGCAATATGTGTATAGGTATCCGACCAAAAGCACAACATTAAGAGAATTAAATTAATATAAACGTACAAAAAATTCTATATTAAAGAAATATAATAAAAATAACATACATATTAACATGTGTTAAAGTACTTTTAAGGCTGTACATTTTTTTTTTTTTATCTCTATAGGTTAATTTCTTTTACAACGTTTATTATTATATTCCACATCATTATCTGGTGGATCGGGTAATGGAGGAGATCTTTGTCTTGTCGTGGAATTAGCAACAACCGGATTTTCAGAATTGGTATAGGAAGTTGATGGAGGAGATGAAGATAAAGGAATCCTTTGTGATTTGGCAGTGTCATCATCTTTTTCGTATCTATTGTTTTCAGGAGGATTCAATAGATTACTATCAGAACCAAAACTTAAAGAAGTATTCGGATGTGATGCCCGTCGATTCGATGAATTAACAGGTTGTGTAAGAGTCGGAAGTGTTGATGAACGATGTGGAGTATGAAGAACATACTGAGATGAAGATTGCGGATTATGTGAATTTGTGGGTGGTTTTGAAGGTCTGTAAGAGGCATCCGGAGATAGAGTTCTACTAAGATTTGCCGGTTCAAGGGAGCGATGCCGAATATAACTAGGACCAGAGCGAAAGGGAGAAAAAGGAATTTCTGGTAAAATGGACAAAGGACTTTGTGAAGGAATTTTAGACGATCTGTGTGAATCTGAGAATGATGATGAACGGTAATCAACATCCGATACTTGCGAAGGATGATAAGGGGAAGAAGATTCAACTCCGACCATAGGCTGTGGGGTGGACATTGATCGACCTTGATGTATTCCTTCTCTATGATAGTTAGATGGATGATATGGCATCATAGAAGGGTAAGATGTAGGAGGTACATCATGTTGGCCAAATTTTGCGATTTCAGCTTGTATGCAATCCACTTTTTTTAAAAACCAAAAGTAAAATATTATCAATTGGATGAAATCAATTAAATATTTAATGATGCGAACAAATTTCAATAAACGAAACAAAGATTTAAAATATTTCACCAGAGGAAAACAATTTCACTAAGGAGAAATATTTTTATTTTCCAATAATAATATGGTAAATGTAAGCATATAAACGTACAATCAAACTTTCGTTTTAAGCTTCTTGGGTCATTAGAATTTTCTAAATAAATCATACATATATCGTAGAAAGTTAATGGGGTTTATTTTTTTAAACACATATATTAAGTATTTAAATAATGTTTTCAATGCAAAAATATACCTTCTCGGAATGTTGATGAAAGAAAATTTGCAATATCAGTAATTACCTGAGATCAAGAGGAGAATGCAACAATTATTTAATTAATATAAAAAAATTAAATGGATGAAAAGAAAGGCAATGCACAATACCTTTTCGTGCTTTGACTGTTGCATTCGACACGAAACAGTTTCAGCATAAAGGAGACTAAAATTTTCATTCATTTGACGCATTCTTTCCGCAATATCTGACATTTGATTTGTCAAGCATTCAATTCTTTCATCGCGCATAGCATCAGCAGTTATGTCTAAAGGCAAACCGGGATCTGCACCGGGTAAACCCCCTTTCCCAGGATTAATTGGAATAGAATGATGTTTTGAGCTTTTGCGTTTAATATTTTGTAAAGCAGCAAGTTGTCCTCGACGAAATTCAGGATGTTTGAATTCCCAAGCTTGACTTTCACTTGTTGGATTCGCGTGAAACATATCATTCACTTTAGTAAACAAATAGATAAAAGAATAAAAAAAAATTATATATATATTGATAAATAAACAATCGAGATCTAGAAACTTCGAATATATGAAATATGAGATAATAAAATTACCTTTATGAAATCCGTACACTAATAAATTCAAAGGTTCGAACAATCAAATTTTTGATAAGGTTGAGTAATCATTTACAAATCAAGAAGGTTGTAAACTCACTGTTTAATTGCCTCACAAAACTTTGCCAATTATTATGTTTAAAATATTGTGGCAGGACCGTTTTTGAAAATTCGGTAGGATTGGATACGCTAAAAACGTCACCGGAAGGAGCCCAGGAAATCAAATGTTGTATTGATTGATCTTCCACCATTCTGACGTAAAAAAAAAAAATCAGAATAATAAGAATCGGGATGAATAGCGTATAATAGTTTGACGGTCCTAATGACTAACTTTCTATGAGAGTCAATCACAGATAAGACAATAATTCTTTTCTTCAAAAATCTTTGGTGTACTATGCAACTTTTCTAAATATTTTTTAACAATTTAGATTACACGTAAAAGAAGCGTTAAAAGACTTGGAGAACATAGAAAAAAATTGGAAAAGCTGCATAGCGCACCAGAAGTTTTTTTAAAAAAATACTAATAGAAAAGTTCATTGTTTTATCAGTGAATTGAAATTGATGCAAGATGAAAATTGTTGGATGGAGATAGATCAGAAATATTTAATATAAATCGAAATCTTGTAATAATGCACAATGCACATAACGAGTCAGTCAGATCTTTACAAGGAGATCTTACTGGAAAGAGCAATGAAAGAATTACTTACGTGTACAATTTGTTCACAAAGGCGGCCTGCGTTTTGTGTGTTGTTGTCGTCAAATTATTTGTAGTAGAATTAGACTGTAAGGTGGAAGGTGGTGAAGAGGTAAGAACTGGTGCAGAAATAAGCGACTGCTCATTTTGCGGGGAGGTAACTAGAGGAGTTATAGTAGGGGAGGCAGGAGAGGTTGGAAGTGTGGTAGAAGAAGCCGATGGCTCAGATTTTGGGACACAATGTTCACTAGCACTACTATTCTTATCTCTCTGAGAGTTGTCGACGCTAGCGTCCGTATTGGCGTCACTGTTGGTGGAATCCATGATAGGTTTTGTAGTTACTTGAATGACCGAAGCCAGGGTAATCCAGAAAGAAGAATGTGATAATATTGAAATTTAAAGTAACTTAAAGAAATTTAAAGGTTTTTTTTTTCTTTTTTTTTATTTGAAAAAGGTTGTATAGATTGCGTATATATTCGTGTATGTGTATATATATGTGAGACAAAACTATAGAAAAGATTTTTTTTTTTCCAGAAAAAAAAAAATTAAAGAACGGTTATCAATATATGATAATATTTTTTCTGATAACGTTCGGTTAATTGAATGGCAAAAAAAAAACTAGAGAAAAACAAAAGGCAATTAAGCAAGCGAACTTTATTAAGACTTGCAGCATACATATAGCAAATTACGATAAGATGCGGGGCCACTGATGTGCTAAAAAGGAATACATAGAAGAATACTCATAGAATGTTCGCCAGATATAATGACAAGATGAAGGCCAGGATTTTTTTGCCTCGTGGGGTGATACTAGTTTCCAAATGCCAAAAAACAGTGGTGATTGCTAACCAAGAAAATGAAAAAAAACAGTATTAAAAATATCCTTAAATAATCAGCGATAATATATGGAAAAAGGAAATCGCCGAGAATTGCTGTAGGTTTTTCCGTTCCTGTTCTTTTGTTTGCTTATATAAAAGCCTCTACATAGTGTTTGAATCAAATATCCATAAATAGCACATACGAATAAGTAAAGTCAGGTTACGCAACACTACTTATCACCTGATTATAGTAACACACTTGTTTTATTCTTTATTGTTTCCTTTATTGTTAGATCGATTAAAGAGTACATTTCTAACGCGAAAGAACAAATTCGGATATTGTTATTTTTTCGGGAAAATGTCATGAAATAATTAATTGTCCAGTCGATATGCTAAAATTTCTCGTTTAATCAACTCACGTATTTAGTATTACCGAAATCCGGTTTGATTACACGTATTTAGAATTACCGAAATCCGGTTTGACTACACGAATTTAGCATTACCCAATCTGGACTTTATGGGTTTAAGAAGCATAACTATAATTTCCTTTATTGTGTAATTCACACCTCAGACATCCATCAGTTCATTCAGATTATCTACGTGTAAATAATGAACATATATTTTAACGCTTTTGTTTGTTGTGTTTCGAATGGAACTACGCACAGTATTTATCTGCAAGACTAGCGATTGTATCCGGGTAAAAGTTTGATAATTTATCGTGATTTTCTCAGAATCTATTTTGTTGATTGAAATTGATGGTTTGTAATACTGCAAAATGAAGCTTTCTATTGAAGTAATTTGAAGTGAGCAAATTATCGTTTTCGCCATATTACTTGAAACTTTTAAATGATCTAATTCCTACGACCTTTCAATTTCTTTTATAATGTAATCATTTTATCAATGACAAGATATCAATCCTTAATAAATGTTTTATTTTCCTGTGAAGTTACTAATATTCATTCCTTTATTTACATTAGCGCTTGATTTGATTTGTTGAACATTGAATCTAGCTATAGATAAGTTATCATTACTTGAATTCAACAGCAGAGACCGTTAATGTTACACGTATTAAAACTGGTGAGAAATTATATTCATCACAATTGAATTCAATTTAATTTGTCTCTGCTGTACTTGAATTTCGCACATACGTACGTATCTGTTTTAAAAAGTACATGGGGTTGAGTCAATAGAAATCAAGCAAATTTTTTTTAAGTAAATTTTTTTAAAACTTTGAATAACAATAATTTAACAACTTAATCAAATTTATTTAAAAAATTTTTTATTAAATTTGATCAAGTTTTGTTAAGTTACTAGCATTAATTGGCATTCCATATGAAGGATAGTATTTTTGTCTTAAATTTTAAGTATAATACTATATATTTTATATAGTACGAAATCATTTTTTTTTCTCATTTATTAAGAAATTCTATATGGTTATAAAAAATAAAATGCTAATATCTTGTAATCTATGTAAATTTGCGTCAAATATGCTTTCTGGCTTTCGTTTAGTGGTAAGAAGTTGTTATTTTAATTCTGCGCAAGAATTTTGTCTATTCTTTAACATTTGAAGGCTCTTGTAAAATTTTAACGGTGGTTAAAAATAAAGTTATAATTAATCAAAGCCTTAAAGTTCGCCTATTTTTTACGATTTGTTTGATCCGCAATATTGTGACATTTCATTTGATCAAAACAATCAACAAAATTGACGCATTCCAAATATGGGTTTGTTATTAGACATATGACAACTGACTGACCTATATTTGTGTACGGCAATTTTGTTGACTGTTTTGGTGAAAAAATGGCTTTGATTAATTACAGCTTTGCTAAATAATAGACAAAATCCTTGTGCAGAATTAAATAACAACTTCTTACCACTAGACATATTGTGTAACTGATATATGGGTGAGTTAATAAAAATTAGGCAAATTGTTTTTTTTAAAAACTTTAATTGCTGATTTAGATAAGAAGAATAGTATTTCATAGGCACAAACCACTATTAAATTACTATAATTCTGCAATTATGAAATCTTTTTGATTTTCTAATAAAAAAAAGAAATATTATATTCATAACACCCATGTTATATAATACCTATATAGTTTTAATTAGAGTTAGGGTCCAGTTTTAAGATAAATATGTGTTTTTTTATTATACAATATATATTAGATATAAGATCTCTATAGGTCCTGATTTCAGTTTTTATAAGGTTTTGGGGGTCCTGAACATTTTTACTTAGAGTACCTGATCCTGTTTACTTAGTACATTTTTGAGATATTATATAAGGTGTTATATAACATAGTGTTATAAAATATAATTTTCTTAAAAAAAAAAATTATATTAAATATGTCGATCATTTGACTATAATACAAAAATTACTCTGTGATAGGGGCTTGCAAATTGCCTATTTTTGAGGCCTGGCCTGGCTTGCAATTAGAGTTAATTTTTTTTAGACCTGGCTTAGCCTGCATTTAGAGTTATTATTTTTTTGCCAGTCTGGCCTAATTCAGCTCATATATGTTAAATTTTTTCTTCAGCCTGGCTCAGCTCGACTCAGCCTGCAAAAATTTTTTATATAATTTTACAAATTTTTAGGCCTGCACTGACTCACAATTATAAAGTTTTGCAAATTTTTTAGCTCAGCCTAGCTTACAATTATAAAATTTTGCTTCAGGTCTGGCTCAGCCTGCAAAAATTTGTGAACTGGACCAGGCCAAGCCGGGTTGTGGGACCCAATACAGTCCTCTACCCTATGATCTGCATGACAAATTATGTGACTAATATCAGATTAGATATATAATACATATGTACAATATAGTCTATATGTTATCTGATCCAGATATAAACATTATTAAAACAAGTCTAAAATTTGCAAATAGTATTAATTTTAATTAAATTTATATCAGTTTTTTAAAATAATGATTGAGTAATCACCTTACTCTTAAATGTGATTGGGAATTTCTGCTCTTGGCAAAAAATATGCATTTGTTTATTCACCAATTAATTATTTGAATAATCCATACATGATTATCATCTATTTTAGCTAAAAGTTGTCATACAACAATAAAATAAATGAGCATTAGTATTAGCAAAAATAAACTGAAACTTGTATTATAATCGTGATTCTGAATTTTAACAAAATATGAAGAATTGATATTTTCACACCCTTAGAATAAATAAATTTAAAAAATTTAATCAAATCAATATATATGTTTTTAAGTAAACTATCGATATACTAAAATTCTAAATAGTTACATCAATACAGCAATAGTAATGAAGGTTAAAATTAATTATAACCAGTTACATGAAGGTTTATTATGGTAAAATTATTTGTGTTGCTGTAGTAGTATGAACATATTACTTTGTTTATATTGCCTTTTCTGATTTTTATTACTTTATACTGTTTCTATATATTATTTGCAGTATATTTGGCATGTATTACTATTTTTTGAAACTATTATTTTTTATTTTTTTGTTTTTTAATATATAATATTGGTTAAAAAGTTAATAATAATAGTTAGGTTATAGAAAGCATCAAATAAATCAGTAATATTATTCTTTAAACTGTAAATCATTTTCAGACAAATTTGTCTGAAAAATTACTAAAAATATACTTCTAATTTATAGTTTTTAAATTTTAAAATATTTAAATAAAATTTTGTTTGATAATATTTAAAAATAAAAATTATAGTATAATTATATTTAATTTATATTATAAGAAAAAAAGATTAAATTGTTTATAAGTTACAAATAAATAAATTTAAAATCAAAAAAATTGAATTGTCATTTTTCTTACTAATTTTTTTTTCAAAAACAGATAAGACAAAAATAGTAACAGTAAGCAAAAACCAAGTTAGAAAACTTGTTTTGACATTATAAAAAAAAAAAGTAGACAAAAAAGATACAAAATACAAAAGAACAATTTAGTTTTTTTTTCAAAACTTTTTAAAAATTTGGGAAATTGTTAGAATTTCTGTATAGCAAATCAAATTAAGTTGCACAAAAACATATAAATAACAAAATAAACAAACATTAGATCATATTTCTTTTCAAATAAATAAATAGATCTCAAAATAAACAATAATCATACTGTAATATGGTTGCTTAACCTAACTAGATTCTAAATATTTGTTTAATAAATATGTCGTCGCCAGTCAAATCAA